TTATCGGCTGCCCGGCCTAGGCTCGGCCTTCTGGCGCTGGAGATTAGGGCTGTTTACTCAGAAGGTGCACTAACCCCGCTCCCAGCATCCCAAAACCTGCCGGGTGCCCTGCGTCACTGCAGTGACACTGCCTACAGCCTAGGAAACCCCAGAACTGCCACTCTATCAGTAAGACCAGGCTAACCTGCACCCTTGATCAACTTCTCAAATCTCCAGCTGCAGGGAAGTCAACGTTTGTCAGGCTACTAGAGAAACACAGTGATGAGTGGGAGATCATCCCTGAACCCATTGCCAAGTGGTGCAACATCCAGACAGCTGAAGATGAGTATGAGGTAGGTGTGCTGGAGCTGGGAAGCTTGGGGAGACAGTTGTTTTGGCTGGGGAGCCATCCCAAAATTCAGCTGTACAGAGTCTAGAGCATCCAGAGTCATCCCCACTATTGTACCAGTTGACCAAACACTCAGAAATTAAAGCTACTTGGAAAATGCTACTTAATACATATTCCAAATAACTACCCTACTCCATCCACAGGAATCACACTGAAGTATGCGACTCTGATCAACTTATTTTGAAGCAGCTGTCATTAAATCAGCTCAGAAACAAACCTCTTTATTCCGGTGCCTAAGCATTTTACTAAACAAAACCCCAAGGCCCTGAAGTCTTACTTCAACATACCAAATTCTGGATTAAGAAAAAAGAAATAAAATCCTGCAAATATGCTGGTCTTTTCTCTCTTGTCCCCTAGGAACTTTCAACATCACAGAAGAGTGGAGGAAACCTACTTCAAATGCTGTATGATAAACCCACAAGATGGGCTTACACATTTCAGACTTACGCTTGCTTGAGCCGAGTAAGAGCACAACTAAAACCTGTCTCAGCCAAGCTACGTGAAGCAGAACATCCAGTGCAATTTTTTGAGAGATCTGTGTACAGTGACAGGTAATTACTCTCATACTGCAACAGGAGTTCAGATTAAAAGCTCCAGATCTGTAAGTTCAGTCATGGAGCTTGGGAAACACCGATACTGAACTAGTATCTGCAAGGAGCAGGCTTGATTCAACATCTGTATTTTACAGATGTAAGAGTGGGCAGCTATTTTTTTTCAGTACCATGAAAAAGTCGTTTTAGTGAGAAGTGTTTTAGTAGTTTGCTTTGATCATTCCTGGCATGAGATTAATGTCTCCATTGCAGATACGTATTTGCTTCTAACCTGTTCGAGTCTGGAAATATTAATGAAACAGAGTGGGCTATTTATCAGGACTGGCACACATGGCTTTTGAATCAGTTTGAATCTGATATAGAACTGGATGGCATGATCTACCTAAGAACCACACCTGAGGTATGTTTGCTATTTTCAGCTCCAGATTTTGTTTCCAGGAGCTTAAGAGGATACAAAACCCCAAGTACTCATGATAGAATACTGCAGCGATTTAACACTGAATTAACACTCCCCCCCCAAAGCAATGGGAAGCCTATCATAATTTCTGATTTAATTCAGAGACTAAATTAAAACCTCTCTCTTCTGAGCTATTTTGAGGTCAGCAAATACCACAGTTCCTAGACCACCACCACTCCCAGTAAAGATCCAAGGCTGAAATTGAACTTCTGCATAAAGTTTGACTCTCCTTCCCATGCAGTCCTGACTTGAAGATATTTTAATAAGAACTATTAACATTTAGCTAAAGTGGCTCAAGTTTGGGTTTTTTAAGTTATTCTAGATTTAACATTTATTTTCAGACAAGCATTTAAAATTAATGCTTACTAATGTCAAGCATTAGTCCTGATTTAAGGACCAACTGATCTGTTTGATTAAGCCTTCAACACATGATTAATGTCCAGGCTTGTACTTTTTTTTCAGAAATGCATGGAAAGGCTACAGACGAGGGGAAGGGAAGAGGAGCAAGGAATTGAGCTCGAGTATTTGGAAAACCTCCACTATAAACATGAAACCTGGCTCCATGAAAGGACTATGAGGTATGAACCCATTTTCTGTAGGCAAGTTTCAATTTACAGGCAAAGCTTTTTTTCTACCTTGTGCTAATGTTGATTAGGGGTAAAATTAAGGTTTAGCTAAGTCTAGCTTCACTCAGGCAGAGTTGGAAGGACTTATCTTTAGACCCACTCCACGTTTCTTGGCACAGATGTGATTACTCTAGGTTATATGCAGAGAGAAGGTCATCTCTTGGCAGGGAAGTTAAAATTGCCAAGAGATGGAAATTCATCTAATTTAAAGCTTTGTTAAGCATTAGCTTTAACTAGAAAGCTGTGTAGTTCTAACTCCAGCAGGGATATGAGTTTTGTTAACTGGAAGTACACAGGAATAGGACAGAGTTGAGACTGTGTTCAGCAGCCAATCAACTAAGTTACCTACCAAACAGCTTCCAGTTCCAATGTAAGAGGGCAAGGTCCCAACTACCTTTAAACTAGGCTGACTGTATTTCAACAAGGTTTATTTTGAAGATAGGATTAATATTTAAACAATCAGAAAGGCTTTTGGCAGGTACTGTTACACACAAGAAACCCAGTCAGTGACTTAAAGTGACCTCTGCACACCCCCCTGTCCCCCAACTTCCTTACTTACACTCCCTAACTTTCCCATGTAAGCAGTCTTTAAATGTGAAAGCAGACCTTGGATTCTTCCCCTAGAGGAGCCTGAAATACTCTAAATGGGAAGCATAACAATTCCAGGAAAAGTACATTATCGGTCACATCTACTGTCCTAAATTTCATGTAGAATAATGCAAATGTTTGAGACAAACAGGCACTGAGTTATTGTGGAATTTTGGGAACGTTTACATTGTGTACTCATTCCAAACTTGTGAGCAAGCGTTTCCTGTATTTAACACTTCAGTCTGCAAACACAAGTTAAGAATGCTGTTCAGCACACTTACTGCATTTCAGAAATGCTTTTCACAAACAGTAAGACAGAATAACTACTGCTTTAAGAGAACAATGTTGTGCAACTATTGCTCCCATCTGCTCCTAACTGCTAGTCAAAATGGTGTTGCTTTTTTCGGAGCCATTATAACCTGTGAAAGAAGTCACACCCACAAAAGGAAGCTTTAAAAATACACCTCAGTAAACGGATTAGCAGTTAACTATAAAGAAGTGGAGGAGACAAAGGGCAAGTGATATTTTAAAAATTACACCATTATCAAAATCATATTCCTGATAATTGATTCCATAACAAGAAGAATGGGATTAAAGGACGTTAAGGTAAGAAGCATAAGCTTACCCCCTGCTTGTACAATAAAAAAAAATTCTGGGCCAAATTTGTGAAATACATTAAAGTGATGGTAACTGACTGGGTTATACAAGAGCAATTAAGGACAGACTTGACCATGTCTCTATACTTAAGTCACAGCCATCAGCATTAACATCTCAGATGCATGTGGTAATTTAAGTAATACTGCATCCTCAGAATGACTTGGAAAGCAACTGGAAGAGCTGGATTGTTTTATACAGAGTAATTTTTACTATTTTTAATAGCATGATGTTCTTCCATTTAACAGAGTTGATTTTGAGAACCTTAAAGAGATTCCTATTCTAGTTTTGGATGTTAATGAAGATTTTAAGAACGATAAGATTAAACAGGAGTACCTGATTGATAAAGTAAGTATTAAATGTTTCCTCATCTGCCTTTCTTCTGTGGTAATAATTCTTAAGTTATTGATTTACATTCTTAAAATTTAATTAAGTATTTGTTTGGGACTAGTGCAGTCTCCTTCATAGACTTAGGAAGCTTTTTGCTTTCCTTCAAAAAAAGGGATTTAACCCCACCTCATCCTCACAATTCAAGGGAAAACTGAATGTTTTTTAAAGAGGGGCAATTGTGGGGGATGCAAGTACACAGCAGCTGGAGCAGTCAGACTGCCAAGTCTGCACTGCCATACCATTCATTAAATAGCTCAGAATTATACTGCCCAGTTCATGTCAGCCATGATGTCCTTCAAAAAATTCTGCAGTCAGTTTAGAGCTATTTATGCCCCCCTCATTCTAAGGTTGTAAGCTCCTCATGGACAGAGCACAACACATCTGACAAATGCAGAGCTAACTGAACTTTGTACATAATGCTAAACGCATGAAGTGACAATTCTAAGAGTTGTGAGGGAGAGCCAACAGCCATTTGAGGAAACAAGGTAGTAATAAATAGGTCACTTGAGTCAAAATGGTGTTTGCTAATTCCAAGGAAAGGTCAAATTTAGGAATAAATGCCCAAATTCTGCTGGAGTCATATGCTCTGTGCCCAGTTCACAACAAGAAAACCCTCTCCTAATGCCTAAAGGCATGGGCCTCATCACCAACCCTTCAACAGAGCTCTAGCATTACATATTTCACTCACTGGGACACTTGAACCTTTCTTTTCCCCCACTGCCCCAACAAGACTATCCTTTTAAGATGGAAAAAAGTACTCTTGCCCTCCTATCAAACCATATAATCCATTTTCTCCATCTTGTTCAGGGTCATCGATTTTGAGATTACTTAAGAATGACTCCTTCAAGCCAAACCTAACTTTCCCACTTATATAGCTCTATATAAACTGGGGAGGGGAGCACAACGTTCAGTTGTGGAGGTATTTGTTGTCAAGTTGTACGCTCATGGAAACCAGTAATTGACTTATGAACCGGACTACACTCCTATCTGTTACCTTTAACTCCTCCCACTGAAAGGCCACCGGTGCTGCCTGCACCAAACACCCTTTGCCACCCAGCATATGGCAAGCCCAGCTCTGCTTTCAGCTTAGGGCAGTGGGTGCAGCACCACGCAGAAAGTGCTACCAGTTGTCAGACAATCCCCTCTCTCCCTAGGAAAAACCTACCTAATGAAGGAAAATTATTTTCTTTAACAAAGTAACATTCTGTAAAGCATTCCAGAAGTTACCTTTCATAGTTACTTGCTATTTTCGCCTAATTAAGTTACTCATTTCTATGTATTACTGACTTCCAAGTCCTGGGTTCACAGCCATCTGCTATACTGAAAAGCATTTCAGGTCAGGAATTACATGTAGAGGCAGAACAGCACTGGAAACTGTACAGTAACAAATAATTTGTTCCCTGAGAAAGGGAAAAGCCTCATAATTTACCTTTTCTTTTAACACAAACACGTGTGCTTTGTTTTTACAGGTCAAGTCTTTCCTGACTTCTTAAGATGAAAACTAATTTGAATTACAAGTGCCTGAAGCTCAAGAGTTAAACCTAAAAATCAGAGCGTTCTTAGGCAGTTTAAGTGAATGTGTTACCTTTATAGTTTATTTTAAGGCAAGATTTAAGTTCAAAATCTGGTTTGCGGGGTTTTTTTTGCTTGTCTGACCTGTCTGGCTTTTGACCGAATTTTCTGTATAGTTAAAACAAATAAGGGGTGCTTTGATCATGTACTTTGTGTATATTTTCTGCTGTTTAATAAAGATTTTAAATAATATGGACTAATAACTGGCTTTCACAACAGAGGAGTTCACTGGTTATCAACGGCTGACAACCCAGTAAACAGAGATAGCAGGCGCTGAGGCAGGGTTGTTTTGCAATAACTGGCATAGTTCACCATTTTAAGACGAGACTGTTATGGCGTCCAGAAACCTTTACTTTCAACTTCTGCTTTATTGAATGGCTGCTCTCACAGCTACTTAAGGAGGGACGTTACTGCAGTCGCAAGGTTACACCTGGAATAAACTGTAATTTACGCGGATCTTGTTTACGACCTCTCCCCCCACCCCCCCCCGAGTAAACA